TCGGGATGTTAACAGCATTCCATGGAATATAACAAAAAGTGTTTCTGAAATAAATGACATACCCCACCTTTAAGCCATCATGAATCTAAAGTGTAGTGCTCTCCACAAATATAACATGATACTCCTTGGCAATGGGTACTAACAACCTTTAGAATGTCCACATTTACCAATCAGAATCTAGTATTCAACTAAGCAGTGTAATAATAACTGTAACAATATCCATACATATCAATATCTATATTTTTGTTTTATTTTTTCCTTTCCATTTCTACTCCCTCTCTGTTTTGTGGGTTGTTATTTGTTATTAAGTGTTTTAGCTTCAACTAACATTCTATCATTGTTTAATCTTGTTGGGTTATGTATGCCCTGTGACCAGGTCATTTCTTAAAAGTGAAAACATTTAAATTTCACAGTCAAACATGTTGGAAATATCCTCTAAATCTCCCGTCTTGTGAAAACATGGCTTTCACAAGTTTAGAAAACTTAACGGCAGCGCTCCAGCCTAGCAGCGAGGCGGTGAGTAATGCGACGCTGGAGGTATCCCGCATGTCGTAATCAGATATAACTGCAGCACGAAAAAGAAAGAGAGGGGGTAGGGGGGCAGAAACTTTCCTGATTTTTGCCCCTTGCAGAGACGTGTGTGTGTGTGTGTGTGTGTGTGTGTGTGTGTGTGTGTGTGTGAGAGAGAGTGTGTGTGCGTGTGAGAGAGAGAGTGTGCGTGTGTGTGTGTGTGTGTGTGTGTGTGTGTGTGTGTGTGTGTGTGTGTGTGTGTGTGTGTGTGTGTGTGTGTGTGTGTGTGTGTGTGTGTGTGTGTGTGTGGGTTGATGGAAGATTGAATGGATCCCAGACGTCAGGAGTTTCTAAATGGGTTTATTGTTCTCCTGCTTTAGGGCTGTTTATTATTTATCAGTCTCAGCATGTGTGTATTTACCGTACGTGTGTGTGACAGTATATCTTGTTGTGTGTGTGTTTTCATTTTAGGATTTTCCCCCTCTCCTACTCATGTCCCGTTCCCACTCCCCTCCATATTTCTGTCCGCCTGTGTCTCTCTTTTTCATTGTGTGTGTTTTTTGTTCTCTTCCTGAAACACACACTTGTTCGCTTGTTGTCTGCATGGAGCCTTTTCATCCAGACAGCTGCACACAGAGAGCGGAGGCTGTGTGAAAAAGCCAGAGCTGCTTCATTTATATTAGCACTTGATATAACTACAAATGAGGCAACACAATATTAGTTTAACTTATTCAACAAATAGTGTGTTGCCTTGAGCAGGATCCCAACACAAACAACTGAAGGTGTTCTTTTTTAAATTAATGATAATTATCTTGCTTATTACACGGCTACGTACTAAATTAACCAAGGACTTTACTCACAATATTGATTAAACATGATTACATTGATTTAAATATGACCGTATTGGATTCATTTGTTTGTTTACTTTTCTGTACATAATGACATCACTATGTAACACTTGCGTGTCTATTGGCTAGAACTCCAACACATTGTAAGTATTAGGATAAGGGGCTGGACATGTCTAATGTCACGGAGGCGTGTGGTTGTGTTGGTGTTCGGATCAGGGGGTCACAGGTTCAAACCCCACTGCAGTCAGCATGTCGTTGTGTCCCTGAGACACTTCACCCCAAATTGCTCCTGTGGGGATTGTCCACAGTATTGAGTATGTAACTCGCTTTGGATAAGAGCGTCTAACAAGTGACATGTAATGTAAGTGGTTGACCAATCACAACAGAGCTGGCCAGCTAACCAATCAGAGCAGACTGGGCTCTGGTTTCAGACAGAGGGTGAAAAGAGGTGCTGCAGCACAGGCAGTATGAGAAAAATAAAGAGCTTTTTGAACATTAAAACATGGAGACATGTCCCAGTAGAGGCACAGAATACTAATATGAACCTGAGAATGAACAGAATATGTCGTCTCGGAAACAGCAAACACACAGGGCTGTGCCTATATGTGTGCATGTGTGCGGTATAGATATTTTCCTAATGACTGCCATCTGAGGAGAAAACTGAACTGGCACCACATAATACATGCTTCTCTGACAGACCAGTAACAAAATCACTTTGGTGTGTGTGCATGTACATTGTTAATGATTGTTGCATTGTGTAGGTGATAAATGGGATTTATTATGATAGAAAGCATGATAAAATCCCAGGAAAGTGTATTTTTAAGGATTATATAGTTACCGGTACCTTGCCTTCAAATCAGCCTGTTCCTCATTAACTGCTAGAGAAGAGGCCTTTAGTGTTACGAGATACATTGAGTTTTTTTACCCTGAAACAATGTTTTAAAGGCATCAGGTCACTTAACAAGCCCGTATGCATTTGTTGAAGTTGGCAGAAGTCTCTGTTTTAGAAAAGAGCACCATTACGCATGCACACCGTAATAAAAGATACTCTATAAAAGAAAAGACTTAATCCCAATTTGCAAAACAGTTTGAGTAAGTTTGGAGGCAATAAAGTCATCTGGATAAAATGACAGTTTTGGAAATGCTTTCAAATTGCTCAAAAAGACAAATGCATCAATGAAATTACATACTGTACACAGTACTATAACTTCAGTAAGAGTTGTACCTCACTTTGGCAACCTTTCCTAAACAGCTCAGCAGTTTAGATGTTAAAACAACAGCAATTTCTTCAGAAAATGCGTAAGCAGTGACCAATGCTTAAAGTTTGACTTCTTGAGATGACTTCACAACCAGGAATCTCATTCTGTATACGGTGACGGTATCAGGCATGCAGATGTGTGACCTACACGAGTCCAGCTGCACTTCGTGTGTGCTGACTCAGCGGTTAGTGTACGAAGCGCTGAGTGATGTTTTTTGTTTAGTCAGGTCTCTTATTCTTTATATATAAAATGAAGAAGTGCAGCATGTACGCAACATTTTGTCTTTTACACAGATGGGGTTTACCGTTTAAGTTATCTGGGTGAAAGGGGAAGATGGTCATTGGTCATTGAGTTTAAACTGTGTGTGTGTGTGTGTGTGTGTGTGTGTGTGTGTGTGTGTGTGTGTGTGTGTGTGTGTGTGTGTGTGTGTGTGTCATACATCTGGTCCGCTGTTATGGTTTCTACTTCATGATTTAGATATAAGATATTTCCATGCATGAAACGCTCAGAGTCATGTGAACTGGCGATGAAATGTAACATGGGTCTTTTTGCACTCTGCTAACTGGATCCCATCCAGAGAGCTTTCATACGGGGCCAAATTCTCTAAACTATTTTTACTTGGTTGCAGTAGGGGGGTATACACAAAAATGTGCAGAATCCCAAATATATTACCTCTCTGGGAGACATTTGACTCCTGTCTCTTTTTTTGTTGCGTAAGTCTCCACTGCCTTCACTCGCATGGAGTTATTTGAACCTGTATGATATACGACTATCAGGACATACTTGCACAAAATGAGTGTTGGAAGCTACAGACAAAGCTTACAGCTGTTAAGCTATCCAGAAACATCCCTCTGGATATTATGTTTGCTGATCTCTGCATTTTTTAACTGTACAATATCCTCTCTTGCGTTAGAGCTCAGTGTTTTTTGGCAATAGATGTGCAATGCTGGATATTAAAGAAAAGTTCTTTGTGTACCGTAGAGATGCAGAAATATTTGATTAGTCCCTGGAATACTTGACAGAAAGAAAATGCAATAAACCATTGCTTCCAGCTTCTTACATAAATTTGTCTTTACTTAGACTCCATGGATATTAATCTCTTCTTAGCACCACTAACTTCTCTTTAGCTGCCACAACAGACAACTTTAGAACATGTACTCCGGCAGAAA